TCCTTTCCTTTTTTGGGGGGGCGGAGGGGGGAGAGGGGGATACCTTTACCCACGTGTAGGTATGCACCTACGTATGTAGGTGTATGAAACAAATGTCTACACTTTTACATTGCCAGGTTTCCGTCTCCCGACCTAGCAAAAGCAGTAAAGCGTTTCGATGACACTTTAACGAACAACTGGGCTCCTTACCTTGAGAAAGGCTTCAAACCGGCTTTTAATTTCCTCACAGTTCAGTAAGGATAAGGCCCCCTCTCCTTTGTTGCATTTCTGTAATGTTTTCATGAACACAAAATCTTCATAAAGATTCCTTTCATCTTCTATCTGTGAAGGGACAGGGACATGAGAAACATAATTCTGGAACATGCAGCTAATGACGTCTGTCAGTGTAATCACCAAAGGCAGCAATTAAAACGCCATATTATCTGAAAGTCCAGGTAGAAATCACAGCCATTCTAATAAACTTCCACCACGAAGTGTGCATTTTGTCCACGTATGATAAGCAGCAATATTCTAGAATGATCTATCCCTCATCGGTCCAGTAATGATCGGTCACTGTGAGCCCAGTCTATAAAACAGTTTTCTGCTGAGCTCGTTTGCCTACTTCATTTTAGTTTGTGCATTTGACTGAAAGAGCCCACCAGGCCAAACACAAACAAACAGACCCAGAACCCCCCCTCGTTTCGCAGCTGTGAAAGCTAAAACTTGACCAACCCAGTGGATGGCCTCGACCATCCCTGCCCCTCCTTATCCTGATGGTAACCTTCACGGCCTTAGTTCTAGGCTGGCCTCCCAACAGAGGGCATTCAAACATCCCTGGGAACATGCAGCCTCCGGAGGCCGAACGCCCACCATTCCTACACCCGGACTTTTCGGACCAGCCAGATAATTGATCAGATTTCTCCTCTTCATATAGGATCGATGTTTTGTTGGCCCGGCCGGCAATGCCCCGCGGGGGAAGTGGAAAGACACACGGAGACAGGATAAATCCTAACGGTTATTTTTCCCTCGGGATGCAAAACCGCCTGCTAAGTTGCTCCACTGTTCTGTCCCTGGAAGTCCAGCCGCTTAAGAAGGTAAAACCCCTCAGAGGGAGACTGAGGGGCTTGCAGCTACCATCAGTGTTTGAGGAATTACAGAGAGAACGCCACGTTTGCCGTAAATGTGCAAATTCTGGGACTTAGCCGTGTCTGCGCTGCTCTGGAGCACTAGGACGTTTCAGATCAAATTCACACTCTCCTCTAGTCGGCAATTAAAAAACAAAAGTTGTCTCTAGCAGAAGAAAAGTGTAGTTTTTAAGCAAAACTTGAGCGAATAACCGCAGCTAGTGTCCACACAGGACAAAGCCTGTTCGAAGCTTGCTACAGAGGCCAAATTCACTTAACCTGCGGGGTGGACACTACTCTCGTCCCCATTTCTCGAATGTGGAAACTGAGGCCTAGAAATAAAAAATGACTTGCCCGGGATCACGGGGCCAGTAGGGAGCCGAGTCGCGGTTTGAACCCAAGCAGTCTGACTCCAGAGCCCAGGCTCTCGCCCAGAGACCAGAAGAGGACACCTTGTCCTCCAGGACGAGGTGCCGAACGTGATGCCACAAGACCATGTCTCTAGCTGGGTTCCTACCATTGCCCATCAGGGCAGAACGGACCCCAACCGACCCGCCCGGCGGTAAGGACCCCCACACGTAATTAATAAGGGCTTGTGGTTCGTCTTACCTTGTCCAGTCTTCTGTGAAGATACACAGCAAAGAGTGCTGACCCAATCATCTGGGTGATGAGAAACACAGTAAGTAAATACATAAAAATTTTCATACTGACGGGTGGTCCAGGGGCCACGGAGCGGGGAGCAGTTTGGCTATATGTTTCGATCATGCTGTGTTAGAGTTGGAACGAGATCTTCAGACCGAGGAGGTGGCAGCAGCAGCATGAGAACACTGTCAAAGTGGCCACCTTACTCAGGATTAGTTAAGAGCGCACAATCGTTGCAGCCCACACTTCCTGGAAATTGTGTTTCGCAGTCTTCTCTCCCAGCAAAAAAAAAAAAAAAGTTACGTAAAGGTTTTTCTTTTCTTTCCTTTTTTTTTTTTTTTTTTAATTCTACCCATATCATTCCCTTCCAGGCTTTCCCTTTTGTTAGTAAAGAAGAAACAAGTTTCTTCTTCCATACATTCATTCTTGCCTTGAAATGTCATAGGCTTCTTAACAGACAATGGCAGTGTTTTTCCTATCGCTAACTTTCTGGGTTCACCAGTTTCAAGGAAAGTGACAAATTCATCCACCAGCAACCGACTTATTTCAATTTCAATCTTACTAATACCACCCAGGAACCTGGCGTATGGGGAAAGAAACAAACGTCAACAAAAGTTTGGATTGATTTTGTGGCTGCTGGGCCACTGGCGAATTGCTCCTCGAGACTCCTTTCATCTTTAAAACCCAACGAAATCCCAGAAGCTTGTCAAGTCGGGTCTGCATGGCATAAAGCACAAAGGAGGGCTGACAATTATTAAATAGAATTTAGCTGGAAAGGTAATTCGAGAAAAATAAATTTCTCCAAGGCCAAGAGGAGTAGGGTCTTGAAAGAAATCAGTCCCAAACTCTGGGATCGAGGTTAAAGTGGGAATCTTGGCTTGACTTAGCCGGATTGCTTGTCTACGCTGTTCTAATCTGTCAGATAATGGCTCGGAATAGAGACAATAGGCTCCAGTTAAGAGACCTGAATTCTAGTCCCTGCTCCACCAACAAATCGCTATGGACCTCAGACAAATCACTTGACCTCTCCAGGTCTCAGTTTCCCCATCTCCAAAGAGCTGCCTTGCCTAGCCTACAGGCTGTTGTGAAGATCAAATAAAAACGTGCACAGGGGCGCCCGGGTGGCTCCGTCGGTTAAGCGTCCGACTTCGGCTCAGGTCATGATCTCACAGCTCGTGGGTTCGAGCCCCGCGTCGGGCTCTGCGCTGACAGCTCGGAGCCTGGAGCCTGTTTCGGATTCTGTGTCTCCCTCTCTCTCTGCCCCTCCCCCGTTCATGCTCTGTCTCGCTCTGTCTCAAAAATAAATAAACGTTAAAAAAAAAAAAACACTTCAAAAAAGGTGCACAAAAGATCTTTGAGACGTGTTAAGCAATAGACAAACAAGTAGCCCTGAATTTGGGGGAACTGGTTTAGCCGAAGAGAGTGAGTTTTCGAAATAATTGTTACCTCCTTACACGCTAGTAAAAACCAAGAGAACAACAACGTCAAAAACACCCAAAGTTTTGACAACACATTGAATCATTGAGGGGTGTAGGATTGTGCATTTCTCAATGGTTTTTGCGTCGTTCTTATCAGATTGCCTTCAAAATAAAAGCAGCTGTGGAAATCCCTACCCCACATCCCAACCTGGTCAAGAAACCATGATGAGATCACTTTGGTGATTCCTATAAAATTGTTTTGAGAGACAAATAGGAAATGTAACAAAGTGCTCCAGCAGGCACACTCTCTGTGTAGTTAGCACCTGCTCGCTTCCCCTCCCACGCGTCAGCATCCTGTCCCGGGCCCAGATCTGTGCAGCTCCTCACTGCATCTGCCAAGTAGGTGGCTTCGATGCACATGATAAACTTCCATCCGTCAGGTCAGAGGCTTCAGTTCTTAGACAAGTAACCTCCGTTCCACTGAAGGCAAACGATCACGGGACAGGACGCCGAAGGGACCCCAGAGATGGGGCAACGGCAGGCTTCATTTCACGTGACCGCCTTTAAGAAAAAGTTGTCCGATCTCCCTGCTTCCTGCTTTCTCTACTTCAGCCCCCTGCAGTCTGACTTCCACCCCCAACATCCCCCGGGAACTACCCACACCACTATTAGCCCAGCCGTTTGGGCCGAATCCTTTCTTAGAGTGCATTTTGCGTGACCTTTTCTATTAGTCTGTTGACCTACGATTCTGTTGTCACCCTTCTAGCGTTGCCCACTTGCCTCTCAGAATACTTCTTTGTGTGATCCCCCTTTTTTCTTTGTTCCCCTTAAAACTTTGGTATTCCCGGGGCGCCTGGGTGGCTCAGTCGGTTAGGCGTCCGGCTTCGGCTCAGGTCACGATCTCGCAGTCCGTGAGTTCGGGCCCCGTGTCGGGCTCTGGGCTGACGGCTCGGAGCCCGGAGCCTGTTTCCGATCCTGTGTCTCCCTCTCTCTGACCCTCTCCCGTTCATGCTCTGTCTCTCTCTGTCTCAGAAATAAATAAACATTAAAAGAAAAAATTAAAAAAAAAAACAACAAAAAAACTTTGGTATGCCCTATCCTTACCCTCCTCTCTTCCCTGCGCCTCCCCTCCGCACCTCTCACTCTACACGTTTTCCTTGGGCGATTCCCACCCACCCTCAGGGTTTTCACTATGCCCCTCACTGTGATAAATCCCAAGTCTATAACCAGGGCCTTGAATCTCAGATTTGTAAGTATAGCTACCGCTCAACGTCTCCACTTGGGCATCCCAAAGCCACCTCACATTTGCACACCCCTACCCTTGACTCCACTTCCTGCCCAGCCCCGTTCTCCCTCAAGGTGCTTCCCATCTTGGGGAAGAGTGCTGCTACAGCCACCTAACTGCCCGGGTCAGAGACCTGGATGCCAGTTAGATGCCCTCTTGCCCAGATTGCGCCCCACTCCCGGTGGCTTCTTCTTCCCCAAAGCCTCTCGATTGCCATTACTCTTTTCCTGTCAACACCTGAGTCTAGTCCCACATCCCCTCTCTCCTAGATTACTGACTTGCATTCTCCTAATGTTTCTCCTTGCTTGCCTTCCTGCCCTGCCCCACCCACCCTTCGTACTGCCAGCAGAACGTTAATTCTGAATCTTGTAACTGACCATCTCATCTAATCTCACCTGACTCCCTCAGACTCTGCCCCAGACCCAGGGAAACAGATTGGCGGTGCCCTGGCGTGTTCAACATGGATGGGATTAGCTCCAGAATAGCTTGCTTGCCCTTCAATCCTGGAAGCCTCCTCTTTCTTTCGTCCTTCCTCTGCCTGGTCCTCTACAACAATTGGCCGCCTTTCCCACTTCCAAACTTGAGCTCTAGTTTCTGATTTCCGATTCTGTATCAATTTGTCCTTTGTGTCAGGACATCCCGCACCCGTCTCTCCTCCCAAAAAGAGTGGCCTTGCCCTGGTGTTGGCCCCCTTGAAAAATCTTCGGCCGCCTACGGACGCCCGGGTGGCTCAGTCAGTTAAGCGTCTGACTCTCGATTTCGGCTCAGGTCATGATCTCCCGGTTCATGGGTTCAAGCCCCGCGTCAGGCCCCGCGTTGACAGTGTGGAGCCTGCTTGGGATTCTCTCTCTCCCTCCCTCTCTCTCAGAATAAGCACACATTAAAAAAATTCTCCAGCCGCCTAATGCACCCAGAAGTGATTCTTAAACTTAGTTTCCAAGAGATCCGTAGATCTCTGGAGCGCCCAAAAGTGCCTACAACCAAGGTCAAATAATAGCCATCTTTTTCTGAATTCACAGAGAGCATTAAGTTAATAGGTTGGGTCACTTTTCAGTTTTTCTTATGCAAATTTGTCTTAAATCTCTGTCCCCTTGTTTTACTGCTGCTCTCCTGCTAACTAGTGACTGCATTGCCGCGAAGAAGTACCAAGGGAAAAATTCAGAAAACGATGGATCATACCTCAACAGTTTGTCTTGGGTGTGAGTATGCTTGTGGTTGTGATTTGATATTGATAACCTAGAACACCGTCATAGTTTCTGCTAGGAAAATTATTTCCAGTACATATGAAAGAGTTAAATGTATCAGCATTTTGTTTGTTCTACAAAGGGCCTCACACGGACTCTTTGCCCTGAACATGTCTGGAAAACCCTAGCCTAGGGCACGGCATCTCAATTCTTAGCCCAAAACACGACCTGTCCCCCGCCATGTCAAGCCAGGTTTATCCCCCTAAACGTGCTGTTCCTGCTCAAGCTGTTCCCTGCGCTCATGCTGACTCCCTCTGCCCTTATCCATTAAGGTCGAGGAAGAGACACCCCTTCTGAAATATCCCCTCCCAGCAGACAATGTGGAAAGTTTACTCCGTCTTAGTCTATCTTCTGTGCTTAATCTATCATTGCATGTGCCATGTTGCCTCATAACTGACTCATTTGATTTCCCTACCATTGGCTCCTAGAGCAAAGAGACCGTTAAAAACTCAAAGCTCAGAACCCTTGCTTCCTGACCCATGGCAAGGAATTAGTGAATCTCTGCCAATCTACTAACTTTTTTTTTTAAGGGCATAGAAAGGGGAGTCGTTCAACATTCTATCTAATCTGATAGAATAGCACTGGCGAGCTTCTCTGGCGATAGAAGTCACAATATATTTAAGTTTTCTTCTATTCCTTTAGTTATCTTTCTTTCTTCTGGGGTCAGTTCCACTCGTTTATTTTTGGTTCTTCTCTTTCATGTTGGTAGTTCTCCTCAAATGCCTGATGACCCTTAGTTGTCTGGTCATATTTATGAATGAAAAACTATGTTCATTTTTATGGGCAGACGGCATGGGTTTCCTCTGCAAATCGCATTGATCTGTTTCCCCCCACAAACCCTTCTCCGGAATGGGAGGGCTGGCTGCGGGTTCTGTTTCAGTGGGTGGAGCCTGTCAACAGGCAGGCTTCCCTTTAGGTTATGTGGGTGGAGAGGCAGGAAGGCCAGGGACCCCCACAACCGATGAAACCAGGAGGGCTTTTCTCTGGGGTGAAGCCCTGTAGAGGGTTTCACTCTTGACTGATGCTGGTTTTTCTTTTGTTTTCTTTTTCCTGTCTTTCGTGGAGGTCTTAGCGCCCTCCCCAGAGCCCTCCTGGGGCAACTTTAGCCTGAGGGCAAAGGCCAAATGCTGCTGCTAAGGGTTCATGGGGGACGAGGGAGAAGGGGGAAAGAGCCCACCTGTCCCGGCTGTTTCTGCCGCAGCTCTTTAATGAGGTACCATGATGGTTACCTCTCGGCCTACCCCTGCTCTTTGCATTTACTGTCTCTGAGCTTGATGTTTCCTTGGGAAAACCCACTCTCGCCTCCGAGTTCTTGCATTGCAGAGCAATGCTCTCATCTGTCTGCTAGTCCAAAGTCATTGCCTTTCTTACTTGTTCGGATTTCTCAAAACTTATTTCACTTTTTCTTGTTCCCCATGGCTGCTGTGATTTCGTTCTTTTTACATTTATTTTTGGCCACATAATACATTCACATGGTTACAAAGGTAAATGGCGTAAGAGAACGAATGTGCAGCGTAAAGTCTCCCGTCCACTGCTTTCTCCCAGTCCTCCATTGTCACCCAGTGTCGTCAGTCTCTTAGATCTCTTGCAGAGACGCTTTTACGTGCATTCAAGCAAGTACATAGATATTCTCTCCCACCCTTATTTTACACACAGTAGTATACAATACATTGTTCTACATCTTTGTTTTTCCATTTAACAATATATTTTGGAGATCATTCCATATCAGCAAATGCTTCTTTTTTTTAAAAAATTTTTTTTCAACGTTTATTTATTTTTGGGACAGAGAGAGACAGAGCATGAACGGGGGAGGGGCAGAGAGAGAGGGAGACACAGAATCGGAAACAGGCTCCAGGCTCTGAGCCATCAGCCCAGAGCCCGACGCGGGGCTCGAACTCACGGACCGTGAGATCGTGACCTGGTTGAAGTCGGACGCTTAACCGACTGCGCCACCCAGGCGCCCCCAGCAAACGCTTCTTTATTCTTTCTTTCTTTCTTTCTTTCTTTTTTTTTTTACAACTGCATAGTGTTCCACTGTATGATGATATACCATAACTTATTTAACTAATTCCCTATTGACAAACATTTAGGTTGTTTCCAGTCTTATGATATTAGACAATGCTGCAACAACAACAACAAAAAACCCGTACGTATTCATTTTTTAAAGTTTCCTTTCAGACATTTCTGCGAGATCTGGAAGGCAAAAAGAAATCACACTTTTTAAAACGTTAAACAATCAACATGTTGACCTAAACACATCACACTAAAAGGAAGATAATTTAAAAGTCATTGTTTATTTTCTATTAGCCAATGGAAAGTGAAAATTTCCGTTATCAACGCATAGCAAATTATTTGCGGTATACGTCTTCTTCAAAGCCAGACATTGCATTTTCAAGCTTCCAATGCAAAGCCCTACCTGGCCTTGAAAATCTGTGTTGCCCCATGTGTGATGCTCCATGTAGATCTGCAGCAAAAAGCCAGAGATGATGTGTTCTCTGGTGCCTCCATCCACAATGCTAGCCGTTGTTGGCTAGATTGGTAAGAAGCAATTACAGGAGACATTTCTTTCTATTAGTTCATTTGCTCAAATCAACATTCACTGAGTGTCTGCTGCGGGCCAGGTGCTGAACTGGATGCTGGGGAGACAAGGATAGAGATGATAGTGCCAGGGCGCCTGGGTGGCTCAGTCAGTTGAGCGTCTGACTCTTGATTTCAGCTCAGATCGTGATCCCAGCATCGTGGGATTGAGCCCTGCATCGGGCTCTGCCCGGAGCATGGAGCCTGCTTAAGATTCTCTCTCTCTCCCTCTGCTCCTCTCCCCGCCTCGTGCTCTCTCTCTCTCTCTCTAAAATAAAATAAAATAAAATAAAATAAAATAAAATAAAATAATGGTGGTCCCTACCTTGCCAGGAGGTCCCAGTTCAGAGAAGCCAACCAGTACAGGAGCAGACAAACATAAAACAAAGTGAGAAGTGCCACAGTAGAGGGGAACACAGACTGCTGTGGGAACATTAAGGAGGAGTACCTACCCAGCCAGGGGGCTGGAATAGAAAGAACATCAGAGAAGCTTCCCTAGGAGGAGAGATCCCTGCCATCACTTTGTATCCTGGCTTCTAGCACTCCACTGACAAATCCCAGCGTTCAACATCCATCTACTGTCCTTGGCTTTTCTAATCCAGAACCTCCTATCCTTTTTCATTGTGCAGCCATCTTCTAGTTGACTATATTGACTCTGACACGCCAAAGGCTCAGGAGGAGTAAGGTAGGAGGGGGTTCGGGATAATCAGCATTGACAAATGATGTTGGGGACAGGGATACTTGGAAGGTTGGCCTGGTTGTAGGTATTAGTTTTGCCAGCGTGACCGTAATCCTCAATCTCTCTTCTTACCAGCTGCCTATCTCCATCCCACATCCCCAAAGTGAATTTTGTTGGCAAATGCTTGCTCCTTGTTTCTGACTTGGGAGGCACTTTACCTCCGTGCCCCATTTGTGTAAGAAAAATAAAGCTATATTTATCTATATGCCTAGATGGAAAAGGAACACAGGTAACACCGATTGCCACTGGGGAGTAGAACTGGAGGCTGGCATGATGTTTACAATGAAGGTATTTTGCTTTTGTAATAACTTACTTTACAAAAAATTTTTTTTAATTTTTTTATTAAAAAAAATTTTTTTTACATTTGTTTGTTTTTGAGAGATGGAGATAGAGCACAGGTGTGGAAGGGGCAGACAGAGAGGGAGACACAGACTCCGAAGCAGGCTCCAGGCTCCGAGCCATCAGCACAGAGCCCGACGCGGGGCTCGAACCCACAAGCCGGGAGATGATGACCTGAGCCGAAGTCGGACGCCTGACCGACTGAGCCACCCAGGTGCCCCTGTAATAATTTACTTTTCCATAAACTTCTTACTTAAATAAACCTTTACAGACAGAAAAGCACACAACTCATAAGCTTAATGAATTTTCATGAAGTGAACACGCCCGTCGGAATCATCACCCAGATGTAGACCTTTACCTCTGAAACCCCCCTTCTCAGTCACCTCTACTGCTCACAAAGGTAACCGCTGTGCTGCCTTCTGTCACCAAAGATAGCTCTGGCCGGGAGCTCTAGTTGCTTCTTATCCTTGCTAGCACTTGGTACCATCTGTATTCTTTAATAGGTCTGTAATATTATCTCATTAGAATTTTGATTTGTATTTCCCTGATGGCTAATGACGCTGAACATCTTTGTATGTGCTCATTTGCCACCCATATGTCCTCTTTGTTGCTAGCATCTTTCAAAAACATAGAACGTGATCATTTAAAACAACAAAAATATAGAACGTGGTCATTTAAAACAACTGCTTGAAAATACTAACGCCACTAACCTGACTAGGGGTCTTTAAGTGTAACAATCCTTCTGAGGGGCGGATATGGGGGGTGGGAATAGCCAGAATTCAGTAGCAGACATTACAGACTACTCCTACTTGCTGTGGGATCTTGGGTAAACTAACCTTTTGGTCCCTTAGGTCGCTTTGTCTATAAAGCAGAGGTAACAATAGTTCCTGCTTCAGAGGGTGGTCCTGAGAATTAGATGAGAAAATTATATAAGGCAATCTGCTCCATGCCTGACACGGTAAATGTTCGTCCATGTTCTCTCTACCTATCTGGCCAAGCCTGGAAAGACAAGGGAGAGAAGTTTGTCCTCGAGGCAGTCAGCAGCTTAGTATCTGACGGAGAACGGGTGAGTGATCCCTCTTTTTCTGGCTCTAAGGAAAAAAAAACAAAACCCTTCAGAGTTGTGTTCTGGATGCAGGATTCTGTCCCCTCACTCCCTGCTGTGCTCCCCACCCCCAACCAGCACAGGGAAAATTCTAGAAGAAATTTCCAGTCACAACTGGGCCGTTGGAAGCTGCCGCGTCCCTCGTATGAGTTTAACACCTCGTGCTGTGCGTCTAACAGAAAGACACAAGTCCCATGGACTCTTTCTGTATAATTCACAAAGGTCTTCCCATTGATGTCTCCTATGGCAGGACTGCCTGAGGTGCCTGGGGGCTGACACCAAGTGGTCAACATCCATGTAGCAAATATTGGCTCAGCCCTTAGCAAGCGCTGGGCTCTCTGATAGGTCTGGGGAACTAAAATGAAGAAGAAAGAGCTACTAGTTAAGGAGATAGGAAAGCAAGGAGTCAACCACAGTGCACGCAGGAGTGGGGGTGAAGTGTGACAGGGCCAGGGAAGGTTCCTGGAGGAGGTAATGTTAGAACCCTGAGGGAATTTTCTGGGTGCCCTCCAGGTACAGGAAATAACACACGCAAAGACCCGGAGACCGAGCATCTTTCTTCTCGTGAGGCTGCATGCTTGGGACCAAAGCCTTGCTCCGGGCTCTGCATAGCACCCCAGCTTCTTCCAAGGGGCCCTTCAGGTGGAGCACAGGCTATTAGGGCTTTATAGGCAGACAAAATCCCCTCTGCTCCAGAGTGAAGATCAGGGATCAAGTACACCCTAGGTGGGTATATTATTGGCACCCGTTTTCCTTTAGAAATCAGCCTGATAAAGGGGCGCCTGGGTGGCGCAGTCGGTTAAGCGTCCGACTTCGGCCAGGTCACGATCTCGCGGTCCGTGAGTTCGAGCCCCGCGTCGGGCTCTGGGCTGGTGGCTCGGAGCCTGGAGCCTGTTTCCGATTCTGTGTCTCCCTCTCTCTGTGCCCCTCCCCCGTTCATGCTCTGTCTCTCTCTGTCCCCAAAATAAATACAAACGTTGAAAAAAAAAATTTCAAGAAATCAGCCTGATATGAACATATAAGGCTTGTCTGTGTGGTTGAAGCCCACTTTTAACCTCCTTCCTTCTGGTCTCAGCTTGCCTTCTGTACCTCCCTTAGAGCTCCAGAACCCTGGTAGGCTGGCCCCTCGCTCCTATGCACCGAGACCCCCCCACCACACAGCCTTTCCTTGGGCCCCTCTTAATTTACCCCTACCCAATCCTTCTTCTTGACTTCACAGGTTCAGGGTTCTCTCCTGCCTTTCTCATTCTGTCTCTCCCCAACTTCTAACTACTACTCTCCACGCTGCCCTCGCTAGTCCCGACCCTGGGCTCCAGCAGTCCCTCTGCCCCGTCCTGTGGTTCACTCCTGGGGCTCTTTCTGAAACAGCACTCCTGCTCCCCACTCATTTCCTAATATCCTCACAGGAGACTGTCTTCTTGGTGGGGACCTCACTCAGAGAACCTCTGGTGCTCCCACAGGGTCTCCTGGGGCCGGCCCCATGGTTTCATAAATGGGGAAATTGAGGCTCGGAGAGAGGGGACGACTTACCAAAGTCATGCAGCAAGTTAGTGGCAGAGCAGAGACTAGCCCGGGCCTCCAGACTTCCAGCCAATGCTCTTCCCCGGGAATCAGGCCGCCCCTTCACAAGGCTCAGGTCTTCTAGCCGACATTTGCTCCCACCCACTGACTGCACGGTACACCATCTCTCTGTAAGCACTTCCTTCCTGAGTCAGTTCATTAAGACTGCAGCTAGCCCGTCCAGGCTTCTGACTCAGCAGCCTCGCAAAGAACATCCAACCATGTCTGCATTCAATTAAGGAAATGCCAGGGGCAGGAAGCATTTCTTTTTCCTGGCAGAGTGGAGGGTACAGAAGGAGATGAAGAGATTCAATTAAATGGTAAGATGTCAGGGACCACGGTAGGGGTGCGGTGAGGAGGAGAAGGGCTCTATCAAAGGATTTGGGATTAGTAGTTAAATACACTTTGGTACCAAAGTAGAGTTACTGGTGTAGAGGGACCCCTGTGATACACTGTTAGTACAAATGTCATGGCAAAAATAGAATGTTTCCATAGTTCCGCTTAAGGCTGCAAGGTAAAAGGAAGGTGAGAGTGTCCCCAGAGTGCCTATGAGTACTAATTAGAAATGAGCTGTATGTTCCTCTCCATTCTCTGCACCCATGTTCATTTTTATCTACAGGTTGGTAGCTGGAAACAATTACCACAACCTTTGAGATCTGCTGGGGCTCAAGCATTCACCTGCCAATAAATGGAGTTGAGAACTTTTCTCCTTCACAATGTCCCACAGTGAATGGTGCCATCTTGCTAAGTGTAGACTTAGAATAGCTTCCACCAGAGCACATCTATATCTCATCCAACATCTAATCCTCAAGGATTTTTTTTTAATTTTTTTTTCAACGTTTTTTATTTATTTTTGGGACAGAGAGAGACAGAGCATGAACGGGGGAGGGGCAGAGAGAGAGGGAGACACAGAATCGGAAACAGGCTCCAGGCTCCGAGCCATCAGCCCAGAGCCCGACGCGGGGCTCGAACTCACGGACCGCGAGATCGTGACCTGGCTGAAGTCGGACGCTTAACCGACTGCGCCACCCAGGCGCCCCTCAAGGATTTTTTTTAAAGTAATCTCTATGCCCAACGTGGGGCTTGAACTCACAACCTTGTTGTCAAGAGTTGCACGCTCCACCGACTGAGCCAACCAGGTGCCCCTCCAACCAAGGATCTTGACGTCAAGATGCCTTCTGACCCAGAGGGGCAGGAAGCCCTGACACCCCCTATTGTGATAAGGTCATGGATGCCTGGATACCTCTCTCCCAACTTGGGAGAACCAATCATATCTGAAGCATGTTCCAGTAAATAATGGGGGGTGACACTTGTACACGGTCGAATAGCATCCGCCCAAAATTCTTGTCCACGGGAACCTGTGAATGTGACTTTATCTGGAAATAGAACCTTTGCAGATATTAGTTAAATCCAGATGAGGCTATACTGAATTAGGGTGGGCTCCAATCCAACAACTGGTGTCCTTATAAGAAGAGGACCGTTTGGCCACAGACATACACTGATGCTGCCAGAAGCCAAGTGACATTAAGGATTGTTGGCAACCGCCAGAGGCTGGGAGAGGCAAGGAAAGATTGATTCTTCCTTAGAGCCTTCAGAGGGACTGTGGCCCTGCTGACACCTTGATCTTGAACTTCTGGCCTCCAGAACTGTGTGAGAATAACCTTCTGTTGTTTCAAGCTACCTGGTTTGTGGTAGCATATGTGTGGAGTGTGTAAGCTTGCTGTAGGGTTATGGAAGCCGCTGGAAACAAATACAACACTTACATGGAAAAAGTTGGCCCCATCCTGTGAAAGGCTGCGCCAGTTGTGACATGAAAAGAAAGATGCTCCTCCCCAGAGGACGCGCCCTCAAGCATAAGGACTGGGCGGCCCCTCTGATGATGCTGTACACTGCCCTAGAGAAATAAGCCTGGAAGGTACCAGAAGACTTATCTCTGAGTGATAAATTCTGGAACATTTCTCTCTGTTTGCTTCAACGTGTCTGTATTTTCTAAGTTTCCTACAATGGGTATGTGTGGCTTTTGTAAAATATATGTGTCTCAGGGCACCTGGGTGGCTCAGTCGGTTTCAGCGTGTCTGACTTGATTGGAGCTCATGTCGTGATCTCACGGTTCTTGAGATCTCTGTGCCCCCCTTCTCTCTCTCTCTCTCCCTCTCTCTCAAGATAAACTTAAAAAATCTGTGTCTCTGTCTACCTTTCATCATTTATCCATCTACCTATCTTTGATTACTAGTACTCTCATGCACTCACAGAATCCTTCTAAGTGAAAGAGTCCCAGGGTGCCTTCGTTTCTTGTAGGCCCATGGTGTCCTCCCTAAAAACCTACTCTCTAAAAACCCTAATGGAGTGAGGGTAGACAAAAACAAAACCATATATTTATATGGTATTTGACACTCTTCAAAGAGCACACTTCCGTATCCATTGACCCATTCAAACTTATACCCTTCTGATTGATAAGAGTTCTCAGGCTCGAAGAGTTGTTAAAGAACTCCTCTGGGGTCTCATCGCTAAGAATTCATGGGGCTGTGACTAGCACTCATGGTCCTGACACCTGGCCCAGTAGAAGTTTCTAGAATGTAAGATCCATAAGGATAGCACTTTCTGTCTGTCATGTTCCCCAAGCACTTATATCTCCAGCATTTAGAATGGTGCCTGGCATACAGTAGGTCATCGGTACGTTTTATTGAATGAATGTGACAAATGCAAGCTTCTCCCTAGAAGAATTTTCTGCTATTAGGGATGTTTTTATCCAAGCCAAGCTGTTGTGCTCTGCAAAAAGCCGCAGGACTGCTGAAGGGGTTCCTCTCTCTTCTCAGTCTCTGTCCTTCTACAGCCTTCTCCTCCACCTCCCACTCCCCAGGCAAAGGATAGCTAATTTCTGGAGACGACCTCTCATATCGCCTACAAGGAGGCTCCTATGTGGTACAATTCAAGGTGAGTCTGAAAAGTCAGTTTCCACAGTGCAGTGGTTATAACGTTCACCTCACACAAGGTGAGTCTAAAAAGAGCTCCTTATGGGGCATCGGGGTGGCTCAGTTCAAGTGTCTGGCTCTTGATTCTGGCTCAGGTCCTGATCTCATGGTTTATGGGATTGAGGCCCACATCGGGCTCTGCGCTGATGGCACAGATCGTGCTTGGGATTCTCTCTCTGTTTCTCTGCCCCTCCCCTTCGCGTTCTCTCTCTCTCTTTCAAAATAAATAAACTTCAAAAAACCTTTTTAAATAAAAAGAGCTCCTTGGGCACCCAGCTGGCTCAGTCTGTAGTGCGTATGACTCTTGATCTTGGGGTTGTGGGTTCAAGCTCCACGCTGGGTATAGAGATTACTGAAAAAGACAATCTTTTACATACATACATACTAAATAGGGCTCCTTGTCCAAAAAGAGCACCACCCAGGAAAAACAGATCCAGGGTCAAGGGGAGGGCAGGCTCTGCAGGTTGGTGGGCTTATCAACAGCAGAATGATTTATTTGGTTCTGGGACGGGGGCAGGACACATCAAGAGACACAGAGACAGACAGAGAGCGAAAATGGCAGCAAAGTGGTTGGAGAAAGGTCTCAGGCCAGGAACAGAACATGAGAAGTACAGAAAGTGTCTAAAAGCCAAAAAGGAAGACTTGTTGAAACAAATAGGAAAACGGAAGTGGGGTGGGGCATGCAGAAGGTACCTCCATCCCTGGCTGTCACCCTAGCCCAACCTCCAGTTCTCACGCTTTCTCCTAAGAATATCCCCCCATCCCCCATGCAGGTGACACCTTCCCACCATTCCCACCGGGCCCTCTTGCGGGGGTGGGGAGGTTCTCCCAGAGGGCAAGCTTTGTACCCAGGTCTTCCTTTCAAGTCCAATTTCCCAGGAAGCTTTAAAGTTACCTCATGCCCTGCGTGGGGGGTGCTGGGGGCCGTGTGGCTACTCTCGGTGCCAAGGATTGGGTCTCTGGAAGTTGGGAAGCCAGCCAAGAGACTGGAGAAAAGGAGGGAGGGTCAGGGGCCTCTGAGCACCGGGGTGAGGAGCAGAGCTCTGGGGACCCTGTAGGATTTCATAATTCTTCCCTTTCCTGGCCTTTTCCACACCCCCCGGGCCAGGAAGGGCAAGCTTAAGGAGGGTTTTGGGCCAATTAATTGCAGGGAAGGAAGTTGCCTTAAAAAGGAAAGCTCACACCACCATCTTAATTAAGGACCATTACTGGCTAATTTGCTAGGCAAGGAGAGGGTGCCGTTTTGATAGCAAAAGATTTTGAGAGAGGCCACATTTCTGTGTCCAGGTAGAGCCACATGCATTCTGGGAAAGGATGTCTTCCAGGCCTTTGCGCTACCTGGACACAGAAATGTGAGCTTTCCTTTTTAAGGCAACTTCCGGGCTATATGTGGGCTGCACCTGGGAATTCATACATCTTGCCAATGACTGATGTTCCTATTTTCATAATTCTTCGCAAAGACCTATCTCAAAATCTACTCCCACCTCAGAGCAAAATGTTCATTTGCAGCTTAGGGCTCCAGAGAATTTTCTCTCAGTGAGGTGGGTTTGGGGGGGTACCCTTCACAAGGTCGGTGAACGATGAAAATGACTGCATCTTCGGAGTTCGCCCCTCTGAAACCGGAAATGTGTGCAGAGCTGACTTAGTACTAATACTTTCTCTTACTCCTGTAAGAAAGAGGAAAGACTGTGCTCAAGGTAGCAGTGATGTGCGAAAACCACAGTAGAGGTTTTGTAAAGGAGAGCAATTGTGGCTTTTGCACAAATGATTCCTAAACCGAGGCTGGGGACGGCATATGACGCTTTTCAAATGAGGTAGCTTCTGGACTGGTATTTCACTGAAATGAAGACGATCTTTGAGCAAGACCGGAAAGCCAAAACTCTACATTTCATGACCTCTGCAGGAAAGTAATCGTTGCATTATGGAACATTCTAGACTGGCAGGCTCAAACCATGGCCCGGAAGAAATGTAGGCCTTTTGGGGTAGGAGGGGGGAGGCAGGGAAAATCTAATTCCCAATGAAAGTTTCTGATCGTTTTCCACTCTCTTTAGTCTCCTCCCCTAGCACAGGGGATCTGATTCAATAAATGGGGAAAAGGAAGTAGAGGAAACAGCAGAAAAATGGATGTCAGTCTCAGGAGGTCCAGAACATTCTTAACTCAAAAGTTGCCTGCAAATGCTAGCAGAAGGGAGGAAATCACACAGATTAGAGAAGAAATAAATGAAATGGA